GGTCACCAGGAAAAGGGATATGGTGGAATGGGGGCGGGGGGTCTCACCAGGAGAAGGTAGGAGGAACAGGGGCGACCAGGAGAAGGGATAAAAGGCCTCAGAACTCACCAAGACACGAGATAAAAGGGAAACGGGTCACCAGGACAAGAGCTAAGGGAAACAGGGGCCACCAGGGGAAGGGACAAGGTTGAATGAAGGTCACCAGGGGAAGGGATAAAGGAAGCGGGGTCACCCTGAGAATGTAGGGGGAACAGGGGCCACCAGAAGGGACAAAGTTGAAGATGACCAGGGGAAGGGATAAGGTGACCAGAATTCACCAGGACAAAAGATGGAAGGAAACAACGGTCACCAGGACAAGATGATACAAACTTCAACAACAGACAGAAGGTTCTAATCCTCCACCACACTACTAAAACTGCCTCTGTTGTCCTTGTCCCCACTGGAAAGATTACCCATCATGTCCTCTCTTCAGGACCCCTTCTCTAGAACAGGAAGTCCTGCAAGGCCAGCTGTAATGCGCCTTAACTGTTGACGCAACACAGTGCTTGGGCCCACCAGCTTCCATCTATAGGTTCACGCCAGGGCAGAAAACATCCCCAATGTGGACACAGATAGCAATTAAATGAATCTAGCAAACGTTCCCCTTCGCTGCTTATATGAACAACACAAGTGTGGATTGCTAACACAGCGGCCTCCTGATATGACCTCTCCCCCTTGGGTTAATAACAATTGTAACAAAAAGGAAAGAACAGGGGTTTACGAGGTATAGCACCACAGCATGGAGATATTTTATAAAAGTAGAATTAAATATTACATAAATAGTATAAAAACATGTATACAAGAGGATTGCACTGTACAAAAAACACCATTATCATAATCAGGAGCATAAGCCTATAGATTATCTCATATCCCCATATGTCCAACTACATTCATTTGATACCCCATATTTGTTCAATTAGAGATTAGTATATCCAGTCCCAACGCGTTTCACACACGGCTTCCTCAGGGGATCATGGACTAATATAAACACGTAAAATGTCTGGAGAAGGGCAGAGATCCCTGTATCGAGTGGGGACGGGGATATTAATCCACCGACACAGCCACTCCGTCCAATGTTGCTTCGGAGACCCCAGGGCTACAAATCGAGGGGCTCCAAGGATAAAGGATCGCCTGTGCTTATCCTAGTTAGAATGATGGCGTGCTTGGACAAGTTATTCAGGGCTTTTTGTGTTCGCTGCAGCTATTGAGACCTACATGTGGACAACAGCGAGGCTTTAGGAATCTGCTTGATCAGATAGACTCCATACTTCGTCTAGCCCCATGGATTGGACTGGCAGGTCTTTGGAACACGAACAGCCCTGAATAACTTATCCAAGCACGACATCATTCTAACTGGATAAGCACAGGTGATCCTTTATCCTCGGCGCCCCAAGATTTGTAGCCCCGGGGTCCCCGAAGCAACATTGGACGGAGTGGTTGCGTCTCCCACACCGCTCAGCCGCCTATCACAGTCCGGCAGAGCGGTGTGTGGGAGGAGACAGCGCTGTCACAGGAGGCCGAGCTCACCTCCCGCACCATTCGCTCAGCCTCCTGTGACAGCGTGTCAGAGAGGAGAGCGGGTACAAGCAGTCAGTGATCAGTGATCGCTGAGTGTTTGTACATAATTGAGGATATGGTATGGTTACTATATCCTCAATTATGAATGAACGGGAAGTGATCTATATCACCTCCTGTTCATTCATAGTTGTGGTTATAGTAAACATACGCTGTCCTCATGTTATGAATGAACAAGAACACTCAGCATAGAGGATTCCTGATCATTGATAACAGGGGATACAGAAAAAGAGATTGAGGACTCTGTGTTCTCTGAGGACTCTGTGTTCTCAATCTCTTTTTCTATTTTAAAAGGGAAATATCAGGGGTCTGTTTAGATCCCTAATATTTCCCCAAAGCCACTAAAAGTAAAGTAAAAAATAAAAATATTTAAAAAAATTAAAAGTTTATTCAAAATAAAAATAAAATATTTAAAAAATTTAAATAAAAACATTTTCGGTTTGCGGCCTGACAATTTCTTTTATTTCGGTTTCGTTTTTTACATTTCTATTTCGGTGCACCTCTAGCAGCAAGCATTCTTAGCTGAGCGGCACACATCCACAACCATATAGACAGAGGAACAAACCCCCCCACCCCAAAAAAAAAACAACGGAGCTCTGGTACCTCTGCTGCAGACAACTCCTTATCCCCCTTGGGTTTGCCGTATTTTTCCTGCATGAAAGGGATCCAGGAATTTTTGCACTCTGCGAGATACGGAGAAACATCCACAGTTCCCACAGTGTAGCCAGAAATACCTTCTTCATCTTCCAGCACAAAGCAATAGTCCAGGCTGTGAGACAGGAGCCCTCCAACAAGCCTACATGAGGAAAACAGAACATATCTACTAATACAGTTTTTGAAGCAATAACGCTATTGACAGATCATTTGTTTACCAATTATGCACAGACGCATGAAGTACATGTAAAGTGCGCACCCATGGCTTGCGTATTGCTATGTCAGTGCATCCCTACGTGAACTGTAGACAGAGATTGCTTGGATTGCTTGTTATTTTTTTTTCTTCAAGAAAACATTATAGGAGGTATTAAAGCAGAACTATGGGGTTAGGGCTTTTCCCCATAGTTCTCCTAAGGGTAACGGGAGGACACAAACTAGCGTCCTCCCGTCACCCAAAGCTCAGTATACCGCGAGCTACAGCTTGCGGGATAGTGAGACGCCGCAGCCGGGACGGATCCCGACAATTATGCCGGGATCCGTCCAGCTGCGTGAGTGGCAGCTGGCTCTGCCTATCTAGAGGCTGTGCCTGCCCCCTCTCCCGTCCGTTCCGCCAGTCAGCGCTGGAGGGTCGGAGAGGGGAGAATCCCTGCAGGGAGCCGTGATAGTCACGGCTCTCTGCAGGGACAGGATCGAGAAGTGAGCGAGCGACGGTATGCGTTCGCTCACTTCCCAATCTATTGAGCCGACGTGTTTCAGTTTCATTGTCACAGGTCGGCTACAACTATGAGGCTGAGTGATTTTCACTGGCCTCATAGTTCTCCTTTAAAATGATACATCATAAAACACATATACACAATCCAGACCTTGACATTTTGAGGACAATGCAAGAACCCATAAAAGGCTTTGAGGAAAGGTCTACAGGTATGCAGAGGAGAGAAGGATTGAGGGGGGTGAAGGTGAGAGGAGGGGGAGGCTCTTCCGGGACCTTGGAGCCTTCTTACGGGATGTGAAGAACCAGGTCACTGAAGGAAATACCATTTGAAAGCTCCAAAGGGTGTTCATGTATCAGTTATAAGACGGTTATATTGGAGTATCCAAGGGGACATCTTGGTCAGAGAGATTTCATCTAGTAAGGTCTTCAATATCACCCGGTTGTATTTGTTCTCTACACTAGTCTTGTAACGCAGGGGTGCAGAGCTGCTTCCAGAATCATCATTCTGGCTGCATTAAATCAGGTAGTTGGGTCCTTGTCGTATAGGAGGGATTGCTGGTAAGGTTGTATGTAGGTTAGTTTAGTAATGATAGGGAACAGAGCTTGCCAAAAGGGTCCAATGTTGAGGCAGGTCCAGAGGAGACGGAGTTGGATTGCTTTGTTAACATTTCAACGTCTAAGCTAACACTCTGCAGGCATTTTGTATGGCCAGCCTTCAGTCAGCTCAAGTTCTATAGTAACTTCGGCACCAGATTCCCTTTATGGGGCCACGTATGCAAAATGGATTGTTTTTTTTAGCTACTTACTTATCGCCGATCAGGTCAGGCTGACTTTCAAATGGCACATCATCCATGGCATCGTCATACATTTCTCTGCAGATCTTGTACACCGAGGCCTATAAAACAACAAACGTTTTGGGAAATGGTCAAGCTCATGCTGGAACAGCTCATCGTGCAAATCCTCTTCATCTCCTATACATTATCTGCTTGCTTTGCCATTTCCCCACCTTGTTAGGGCGGACAACAAACTGATAATGCATTTCTTAACAGCGGCTCGATGTCTTACACCACTACAGTAGAAAAGGAAGCTACCACAGTCAAGAATTTAGCTTTACGCCCAAATTAAAGATGTTCAAGCTATGGAGTATCTGACGGCAAGGCTCAATAAATACTCTTATTACCCTTGAGAAAGTATGGGGCGCATGGACTTCAAGGGAAGAAAGCACTGGCTGATATATGGTAAAATATTAACCACTTGCCAGCCGGCCGTTGTAAAAAAAACGGCCGGCCAGGAGCTCTCTAGATCTGACCGGGCGTCTTTAGATGTCCGCTCAGCCACGGCCACTCAGTCACGAGCGGGAAATGGCGACATGTGAAAGCAGGCAGCGATGCCCGTTAATATACAAGCGATCCGCCGGCTATAGAGCCGGTGGATCGCTTGTATGAGGTCCCGGGATGTGCGCCCTCCGCGGCTCCCCCCTCCCGCTGTCACGCTGGTCCCGGGCTCCCCTGTGCGAGCCCGGGACCAGCATACTGCCTGTGTCACAGGGGATCAGAGGGAGGTCGGTACACGAGCTCCCTCCGGTCCCCTCTCCGCTGTCAGAATGCGGAAGCGTTGTATATGACATCACTTCCGCATTCTTGTGTCACTCTCCAGCTTCAGATGCTGGAGAGAAGCTGATGAAGCAGATCTGTGCTTCATCAGCTTCTTCAGGGGGGTCCTAGGTGACATTAGGGGTCTTGGAGACCCCTGATGTCTCCATAAAGAGGACCTGTCACATATTTTGCTATCACATAAGGGGCTAAGAAAACCCCCTTATGTGATAATAAAGTTAAGTCGAAAAAAAAAAATATTTAAGTTTCCCCCAAAAAATGTAAAGTTACAAATAAAAAATATTTTTTTTTTAAAGTCCCCCCATACATACACGCATGCAAACAGGCGTCGGGTGCGCATACGTGCGAAAACGACGATTTCGCCCATTACGCCGCACATGTTACATATCGTTGTGAACGTCGGAGTGAGAGCAATAGTTCTAGGGCCATCAATCACCGATAACACTAAACTGATGAGCTGTAAAAGCTTTTAAAGCGTTGCCTATGGCCAATTTTGGATATGGTAGTTTTTTGCGTTTTCGTGGGTTTTAAAGCATGACATGTTTGGTGTCTATTTACCCGACGTGACCTCGTCTTTTATATGTTACCAAAAATATGGGTAATAATCATTGTTTCCTAATATAAATGGGGAAAAAAACTTTTTTCCCCAAAAATTTTCAATAATTTTTCCTTAATATAGTAAAAAATAAAACCCCCCAGTGGTGATTAAATACCACCAAAAGCACATATTTTTTTCAGGTGGAGAAGATGTTGTGTTCCCAAAGTGGCAGAGTTTGCGCCGTGCGTAGTTGCATTTCACACTGTTCCTTTTCAGTTCTCCTTTAACCCCTAGCCTGGGATTGCACCGTGAAAGGAGAAGCAGCAGACTAATGGGCTCATATGTCTGCTCCGGTGCTTTTTAGCAATGCAGAACAACCGATTTGGTTCCTTGTGCTGATTCCCGATAACTAAATAGGTTTGCGTCGCACTCTTTACCGGAGATACCATGTAATGGGAAGGATGCCCGGAATGACTGAGGATGGCACCGCTGTATGCATAAGATAAATGTGAAAGATGCCACCAGCACATTGACAGTCAATGCATTCATCAATGCTGATGCCTGATGAGGTCCCGAAAGCGCTTGTATCCATTCTAACAACTTGTTCAATAAAATGAGCATTTGGCGATTCCAAAAGGGTCTTTGGTGTGCTGGTGACATCTTTCACATTTTTGTGCTGATTCCGCCTCTCCCAGTCTTGCTGTATAGAAACTGCCAAAGGCTGATTCCAAGTCAAATTCAGGTATTTAAAACATTAAAAAAATACATGCGCTGTTGTATTAATACGAAGCTGCATTAGTTTGTGTCTTTATATATAATAAGTAGGCCCCACTAGGTCAACAGTATTTCCACTCACCTCATCTTTTGGGTAATACGGTCGTATTGTGTACACCTTAGAGGTAGGCGTCAGGGGAGGAGGCTGAAAAAAGAGGTCATTTGCTGCCTCAATCGGAAGCAAACGCTGTGAAAAACAAGAGGAACAGAAATTAGATCAAGAAAGCCATAAACAACGACCAATGTAAAACACGCCAAAACAACAAAAATACCACTGCAGGTGGCGCTCAGCAAAAGAAGGTACATCGAGGTCGCAGCTATGCACCACTTCGCACGGAATAAACCCAGACTGCCGGGTCGCAGAGAGGGTTGGTCTGAAGAGGGTTAACTGTGACAAAGAGGAGGTGTGTCGCCCTACCTCGCAGCGTGACGCAACATGCAGCGCACACGGCACCTGTGAGAGGGAAAGAAAAGCCGGCGCATGAAATTCCATGAACAAATTTTCAGTGGTCACCCCAAACGAAAACACTGCTACAGATCATCAACTTTACAATTGGACAATCGGTCACCTTTTGGCCTTTGACACTTCTTTGGTCATGGAATTTCAGTGGTTAGCCAAGCATGCGCACGATGCCAGCTCGCAGGCGCAAAGGGACAGGCGCTGCGCGACCTGCAAAGGAACAGTGTGAAATGCAACTACGCGCGGCGCAAACTCTGCCACTTTGGGAACACAACATCTCCTCCACCTGAAAAACAGGATGGTTAAGCAAACAGGGGGACAAAAAAAAAATGAATATATCAAGAGATTAGATTGTTACAGTCAAAGCCTTCAGCAGACCAAGCCTTTCAAATTCCTCAGATGCACAGAAATGTCGGTTGAACATAAAGTGTGAAAATAAAGTTATTGAGTTTTGAATTCGTGTTGATACCTGGAACTCTCCAGCTAGACCTCCTCTAAAGGCCCAGGGCTCTTGGTCTCCACTTAAGAACTGTGCTGAAGATTGACTACGACACCCTGTTGAAATCAGATCCAAGCGGAGAATGTTACATGGAGGGGGTTTTCGAGAGTCTACGTGTCCAGCAATATACTTAAAAGACGTGGAGAGGGCTCTCTAACTTCTGACAGTCTTTGCTCATTCCAGGCTGTAATAATCCTGTGCATTGACAAAATTCAAGAATACCCCCTTGGAAAGGCTTAGAGAGGTCTTCCAGTTTGCATGCTGATGAGGTAAGAAACGTCTGCACATAAAAGCTTATCCAGCCCCTCAGAGAGTATCCTGTGCCTTGGCGGAAAGGGTTGGGCAATGGCAATGCATTTTTGGCATTGAAATGGTCATGCCAATTTTAAACCAACATTTGAGTGCATGACCTTCGGCATGCCTTCATACTCCTTAGAAGCATCTCTCGAGGCTTCCATATTGCACCGTTCAACCGGCCTCGAGTACCTTCAACCTCATTTGGGAAGAAAGGGGGCAATGCTTACCAACCACTAACCTGACCTAGAAACACATTGCTGCCATTGACCGACAGAGCGGACCTCCACAACGCAGACAGGCTTCAGTCTCTTATGAGCGTGACTAACATTTATGTACAGATGCCCCTTACCACAGTATACTAAATAATACACTGGATGACCTCTTTAAGTGATACAGTTTAGCACATGAGATACCAATATTATTATAAAAAAAAAGCCTGGCACACAAATAGCTACAACAGTCAGTTTAAAGTGGCAGCATTATTACAGCCCTAAGAATTAGAAATCTGAAGTCACAATTATCAGTGCTGGGCATCAATAGGCCTAGAATGCAATAAAAAATAAAAAAGAAGAAGGATACTGGTCTCTGTACCACTTCCGAAAAGTAGCAATTTAGGAAAAAAGTGTTAATTGACAAAAAAAAAAAAAAAGCACGTCACTAAAGCACCATTCAATTTCATCATTCCCCTGCAGGAATGAACACACGGAGAATGATGACTTATGGGAACAGCACACTGGCGTTCATGCAATTCTCCTACTCATTGGTAGCGGTAGGGATCACCGATAGGCCATCATGGAAACTACTGCTCCAGCATCAACTGTGGTGAGCACAAAATACTTTAAAGCCAACTTATTTTCTGCTGCTCTCTTTGTGATCATCACAATAGTTACTTTTTAAAGCAGTAGGTGGAACAAGCCCTTTAAATGATATGTACGGTATAAAAAAACCTGACCTGGTTAATATGTAATTCCCAAGAATGAACTTTCCTAATTGCGCCCTTATTTGTTCCGTCATAAATACTACTGAAATAGTTTTCAAATCACTGAAACCTTCCAATCTTGTCAGGTATTCCGAGCTGTCCTGTGCACACTTCCTGTGTTATCTGAAGGAGTCTTATCAGCCCTCCCAGTTCCCATCTTGGACTACAGAACAACTGCTCTCTATGTTGTGGAGATTAGTAGTGGAGGAGGGATTCTGAAATTTAGCAAAATGGCTGACAACATATTGTGACTTTGAATGCTGTGTGTTGTCAGCACGCAACAAGTTTAGGAGCGGAGTGTATTTGGGGGTTTGCAAGACCTGTGTGCAAGATCTGATCCCTCCTTTTGCTAAAAGGCAGCATAAAAGATTAAAAACATACATAAAGGGGGGGGAAAAAAACCCACAAGTTATTATACTCACATTTCCTTCTGCTTCCATGGTCATCCTTTTGTCTATGAGATCCAGAGGACTGTAGAGTACTCCAAATCTCGTGAGAAGCTGCTGCAGCACAGTGCTGGAAGGATCTGTTCGTCAAGATATGGAGTACTCTACATTCCCCTGAGCTCGCTGGAAGGAGCACAATGTCCCCTTCGCATAGGCTCTGTGGGCGGAAGCCAGGGAAGAGGTAAGCTTAATAACCCCTGCAGCTTTTTAAAAAAGGTTTATGCTGCTTTTCAGCAAGAGGGGGGCACCTTGCATTTAAGATGCAGCAAGGTCGGCTTGAAAGGTATTTCAGAGATGTACTATATATGTTTTTAGTTTTTTTTTCCCCACCCCGATACACTCTTGATTGATCACCGGGCAGAGAAAGCAATTTTGGGATTTAGTTTCCCCATCTGAAAATGGAGACAATGATATTGAAATGTGAGCACCGTAACATTTTGGCTGGAGTGTATTGTGACCGGGTGAATGCCGTCACCTGTATGTATTCGGCACACAAAACAAAGCAGCTTACCCTGAACCCATGCACCTAATCCTCACCTTACCACAGCCGGAAACCTAGTGCTGACACTAGCCAAATATACGTCAGGGTCAATAAACGTTTTAGGTGACAATGCTGTACAAAAAAAAAAGTGTTCAAGCAGCTCATGCCTGCACTGCTGTCACCGAGAACACTGTCAAGTGACAACAGTATGACAAAGATGGCGCATGAGCGGCTATAATTCAATGCAGCTGACAGGCTACCGAAAAAAGAAAGTGTTTCTGCCGTAGGGCACAGCCGGGCTCTACCCAACGCATGACGTGAGCAAAAGACTGAACGAATGTGACTTCAGATGATTCATACAGAACAGTCCTATCTAAGGAGATTGTATATAATCGCTGCAGAGCGCAGTATACATCTTGCTTTCTCCATCCAATAGTAGAAGACACTTGTGCTCAGGTCTGTCCCATCTGTGCACAAATGAGGAAGACACAATAGAATCATTAGTAAGCAGAAAAAAAAATAATAGGACACACTTCCTGTCACAGAGACTGAGATCAACCAGAGACTTTTTTGTTGTTTCTTTTTGGATCTCTATTACTCTACAGAACTAGTTCACGTCAAATGAATGGGAACTTTGCACAGCGAATTATAGCTTTAAAGGGCAACTCCAGGCAACGAGCACATTTAATAAGGCAGCTGCCAATGCTATTGCTTAGTCTGAAAGCCCAATTGTACGTTCGGTTTCAATCGGCTAAATACATTCTAGGAGCACCAAACAAAGCTCGTTACAGATGCAGTTCATTTTCTTTAGAAGTCAGACACAGCAATGGCTCATGCATTGTGCTAACTGGAGAGGTATAGCGCCAACTCAGCAAAGAGGCATGTCGGATCTCTGCAGAAAGACTGCTGCTTCCACACAGGTGGCAAGTATTCTTCTCTGCAGCATGGGAGGAGCCTTTCTTCTCAAGCTGTGGCTGCTTTCTAAAGAAAAAAAAACTTGAAGCCTTTTTATGCATTATCATTTTCGGCATTTATTTGATGCATCTGGAATGTATTTGGTTGATTTACAGTTCAGTTGGGCTTTAATGGTTTATGTTCCCTTTAAAAAGGAACTTTGATCTGATGATCCCATGCAGCCAGGACTCTCAGACGCCTCTGAGTAGATATGCGGCAGCACCAGTCATTTTGCCTACTGCAACTTGTGTCCCTTAAAAATGCACCTTGCACTCCTCAGCGCTTCTTGAGGACAACAGTGAAATGCCAGATAATCAGAGGTGGATGGCTGATCTATGGCATCTATGATTACACTGGGCACACGTATCAAGTTATTAGTTACCCCGGCATGCCTAAATACATGGGGAGGGCCACTTCAGAACACCCTTACCTAAACAAGTTCAGGCTGGGAAGTCAAAGAAATGGTCACTGGTCACCATGAATGAATGGTGGAACATGTAATCAGTGCCAAGATTAAGATTATCAGCACTTTACAGGTAAGCTTTATCTAGGTTTGTATTTCAAATCAAATGCTTATGTATGACTGGAGTGTCCCTTTAAAACTCAAAGTAGCTAATTTTGTAGGTTTTAAACTGAAGGCCTAAAGCAAGGTCGAGCTCACCACAGAGTGAGTGACAGCCTGTATTAAGTTACGTGGATGAGTCGACTTTACAGAAAGCCCAACATTGCCGCCTGCTGTGTTTTCTACAAGCAAGTTTCCATACTGCTCCTTTAAACGCTTGACACCTGAAAACAAAATGACGCTACGCAAGTACCTCAGGCCATTCTGGTGCACAGGATGAAGTCCCAAATGTTCTCCGGGTGATCTACTGCCTGCAAACACACGCTGGTGCATCTACTAGCGTAGAAGCGCATACTGTGTTTGTGCCACATTCGAAGGCGAGTCACGCTGCAGCTTAGATGTGCCCACTCACCCACCCCAATTTGATGGCCCTTTCGCACCAGAATAGCCTTGCGCAAAGCTCGCGTGCGCAGGGTGGGAGTCACCCTTCAACTCTTTTCCGGGATGTCAATTGTAGGTCTCGGAATGTTCTGTTCAAATAGCAATGATGTTATTGCCACACAGCAAGCAGCAGGCAGCTGGGTTCCTGTATGAAGTCAATGCCATTGGCTGGAAACTCTCATATAAGAGAGGCCGGTTGATTTCAGTCCTGTCCACAGC